TCAGGACTAGAGAGGGGATGTGACTTGCTCAGAATTGCACAGCACATTGCCCTGCCTGCTCCACTGCACCATCACGGGGACTTACTCTAACCTGATGAGTGGGATCGTGGAAACCCAGCCAGAGAAGGAATCATCCACTAAAGCTATCGCAAAGCCCCCAGTGGTGACCTCTAGGGAGCATGCATGGCCGAGGCTGTGATAGCAATGTGGCCATGAGCTCTGGAACGTGGAGGACGGACCCAGAGCACCCTTCGTGTCAGCCTGCCTTGTGTCCAAGCTCCGGTAGCCCACTTCTTAATCTAGGGCAGTGCTGGAGAGCAGAACCTGGGCTCACAGATTGAGGGTCCAACCCCCATTCAGCCAGTGCCAGCTCTGGGCCCCAGGATCAGGTTTTCTGGCTCTCTGAGCCTTGGTTTCATTGGGGGAGCCGAGCCAGTCTGTGTTATAGGCTGAGGTTAGACCTTGTGTCAGAGGTGCTCAGGTTCCTGTAGGGATGGTTCCTGTTGTGCTGCCAGCCCTCTCAATGGATAGGGAGGAAGGGGAGCACAGGCGCTGAATATGAGCCCTCAGGTCACAGTGCCTGGGTTCACATCCCGCCTCCCCTCTTATTAGTGGAGGACCTTTCCCCAGCGGATGAAATGCTTTGAGTTACCGTTTTCTCGTCTGGAACAGGTCTGCCAACTTCCCAACCCTGGGCCAAGCCTGGCCCGCCACCTGTGTGTGTAAATAAAGTTTTATTGGGACACAGCCAGGCCTGCTTGTTTACATAATGCTAATGACTGCTTGTTGTGTTGCAACAGCAGCAGTGAGTAGTCTGACAAAGGTCAGCTGTTTGCTACAGGTCACATGCTGAAACTATCTACTACCTGCCTCTTTACAGGAAAAGGTTGCTGATGCTTCATGAGCTCATCACAGTGTGTGAGAGTTCTTTATGTATTTTAGATACTTGTATCTTATTGGAGCTGGACTAGCACTATTGGGTAAACATTGAGCTGCTAACTACAAGGTGGGCAGTTCAAACACACCAGTTGCTTCACAGGAGAAAGATGAGGCTATTTGTCCCCATCAAGATTCACAGCCTTGAAAACCCTGCATAGAATGGCTATGAGTCAGACCAACTTGGTGGCAATAGGTTAGGTGAGAGGGTGGGGTGGGGGTTATCCCTTTATCTCAGGGTTATCCCTGAGGGGGGTTATCCCTTATCTCAGCCGTTCTCAACCTATGGGTCACGACCCGTTTGGAGGTCGAACGGACCTTTCACAGGAGTCGCCCAATTTATAACAGTAGCAAGATTACAGTGATGAAGTAGCAATGAAAATAATTTTATGGTTGGGGGGGTTACCACAACATAAGGAACTGTATTAAAGCGTCGTGGCATTAGGAAGGTTGAGAGCCACTGCCTTATCTAATATATGACTGACAGCTGTTTTCTCCCATCCTGATTGTTGTTGTTAGGCTGTTAGGCACTGACTCGTGGTGTACCCAGCACAGCAGTATACAACCCTGCCCAGGCCCGTGCCACCTTCCCGACGGGCAGAACACGAGTCCACCATGGCAGCCACTGTGTAGACGGAGAGGGTTCCGCCTCCAGCACTGTTTTGGACGATGTTCTGTGTGAGCCATAGGGCTTTCCCTGGCTACTTTTCAGAAGTAGATTACCAGGCCTTTCTTCCTAGTCTGTCTTAATCTGGAAGCTCTGCTGAGACCAGTCCACCATGGTATTTGAAATAGTATAGCTTCCAACACCACAGCAAGATACACGCCATTGCAGTCCAACAATCCAACAGGTCTTCTTAATTAAAATCTACCTGTTTCTGAACAAAGTCTTAGGAAGTTTATGATACCAGTTTATCACGCACGCCCCCTGACGTCTTGACAAAGTGAAGGGAAAGCGCCAGCCCCGCGTATCGAGGTCTTGGGAGAAGAGTGTAAGCCAAGGCACAGGCAGGCGCAGGAATAAAACCGAGGCTAAGGGAGGTCACTTGGCTCAGAGCATCCCAGTAGCCCAAGCAAATCAATCAAGAAAGAGAAGCACCAGGGGTCACGGAGCACTCCGGTTACGGAAAAGGAAGCAAACCGGCTTGTCAGCGTCCTGCAGCTTTCTGAGTGCTGGGCTCTGGGGAGGGTGCATCGCGGGCCTTGCGTAAGGGAGGTTGTGCAAGGGGTAGTTCTCCTGAAAGATGCCAAACCGCGAGATGTGACCACTTCTCCTTCTGCCTCTAGATAACAGCCGAGGGCGGTGGCGCATTTCTGTAGGAGGCCCAAGTGTAAGCTTACTGTTGATTTCGGGTAATAGTGATTGCCAAACACAGAGGAGGGTTAGCAAGAGAAAAAAATATTGCCATGAAATCCCAGAAACCCGCAATAACCAAAAGTATCAAAATGTGAAGCTGTTGTGTCTCGACATAGCCTCGCCAGGTCTCCCCTCCGCAGGCGGCTTCCACCTCTAACCTTTCCTTTCCCTTTTCTCCGTGGCGCGCTGGAGCACAGCTGGGCACATCAAGGGACTAAGTCATGTTCCCCTTCAGTGTTTCCTGAGCTTCAGGGTCAAAAAGGAGTCTAAAGGGCAAGATCAGGACTGCAGGGTCGGGGTGGGGGTGGTGGGCAGGGTTCCCAGTGGGACTGCTGTTGTCATGATGGGAAAACATGGCTTGTTGTGACTTCCCTGGCTTTCTTCTCACCAGTGCAGTTTTCAGTCCTACAGCTTCTTCTTAAATCAGACCCAGGATCGTCCTGTGTCCTTGGAGAAAACCTATCAAGCTTACTCCTTTTGGAGCCCCCCCCAAAAAACAGCACTAGAACCTTCTGAGCTGACCTCTCTGCCTTGCTTATCATTGAGGGCTTCTTAGTTTTCCTTAGCGCGCATGATCAGCTAAACTCCCTGTCTTATGTCAAGCAACATTCCGTAAAGTTGTCGCAAACATCAGTGATTTGGAAAAAAATCAAAGTTTTGTCAAAAATCTTATATTAGCCCTGACCCCAGAATCGTTTGTTTTCCTAGCACAAAACGTATCCTTCTTTATGAACGCACCCTAAGGAGGCTAACCAAGAACCAACAGCCAACCAGACTCACTGCCCTAGATTTACCCTGTTGGGTCGGCGACAGCTTCCCTGTGGGTTTCCAAGACGGAAACTCTTTATAGAAGTAAAAAACCTCATCTTTCTTCTACGGAGCAGCTAGTGGTTTTGAATCGTCAACCATGGGGTTAGCAGCCCGCTGCGTAACCACTCCACCACCAAGGCTCCAGCCAGGAGGCTAAGACAAGTGAAATGGCCACGGAACGTGTGCAGCCATC